GAACCGTATACAATAATTCGTCGCTTTCTTTTTGAACTCGTCGGTATGATATCACTATAGAGGATAGAAATTATTGAGAAGTAATAAATTTACTATTTTTGTTTTACTTAAGTGTACTTAAAACTGAGAAAATATTACAATTTTGGGGCAAAAATTTCTCCACGTGCGTGACACGTTTATTTCAGCGCAAGAGGTTAAATGTTTTACATGGAGTTACAGTTAAAAAATTTAATGATATTTGAGAAAAAAAATACAAAAAAAAAAAAAAAAGAGCGGCATGTAAAGAGATTCTATTTACTTCGGTCAAACGAGCAGCAAATCCCAGAGCAATTAACGACACTTTTCCGTTCCAGTCCGCGAAACATTTTACCACAGATGTATAATTTGTACGTACGCACAGTTACAAAGTAACAATTATAACTAGATCTGGTAGCTATTTCATCATTCACGCATTTCACAGCGTTAATAGCCTCCGTTGCTACCGAATTATCGATCGGCCAAGGAAATGATCGACGAGCAGACTACATTTAATCAACATGCTGTTCTGTTCCGCGTGGTAATTAGATTCGCGAAAGGCGCGGTCGCAGCTACGTTCGAACGTGGCTTTTGCAAATTGCAGCGTTCATTCGACACGCTTCGAATATAGAAAGAGCCGCTCGCGGAACAGCTGCGTGTGTAAGCTGTGTGTGTCCTTGGTTTTTACTAGCGTGTTCGGAAACGTTTACGGCGTCTTACACGGACACGGCATGTCCATCACGTTTGATTGGCTCTTTAATTAGAGACTGATACAGAAACCATGCAGTTGGAGCAGTACACACACACACACACACACGCGCGCGCGTTTAATACGGTAGGTGTTACATAATCGAAATTATTACAAACAATATTCACACGACCGTCGTGTTTCTTTGTGTGTACACTTTTATGGCTGCATGCACAGATATTTCAAGTTCCTCATCTAACACGAAACGTACGGTTTCTTTCTTTATGTTCTTCGTTTTCGCGAACGTTTTCGAAGGATAAGATTTCGATCGACAGAGCGATGAATTTGCACTTACCGGTTTCGAGATCGACGGTGTAAGGGAGGCCCGCCCACGGATCATCCTGCGGTTCCTCGTACTCCTTCGTGTCTTTCTGGAAATTAAATGCCCGGCAAACAAGTTCGCGACTGCCGGTAATTAGCAACGCCGAGACACGCAATTAGCAATCTTTTTTTCTTATTGTCATTCGTTATCAGCGAAATTCTCAACCTCTTAACCGCCTTGCGCTGGCAACTGATTGCGGACCATAACGAGTGACCGTACACAATAATTCGTCGATCTCTTTTCAAACACGTCGGTTTGATACGATTGGATAGAAATTATTGAGAAGTAGTAAATTTATTATCTGTTTTGTCTGTGTTATGCTTAAATATACTTAAAACTGAGAAAATATTGCAATTTCGGGACAAAATGTTCTCGACATTTCAGCGCAAGAGGTTAACCGGATTCTCGTCTTAATCCAATACGCAAAACGAATCAATTCAAAACTTCAAAGAACAACGCAATGAATTGACACGCCAATTTCTTTTCTCTTTTTTTTTTTTAGTATCATACTGACACGATATCTTCCGATGTTTTAAATTTTCACGACGAGTAAATTGATTTGTCGCTTCCTCGCAAGTTAACCCTCTGTGGGCCGAATTTTCTTCTTAAATATAAACAAATCTATGCAACAATTATAAACCTATATATGCAGATTGAAAAAAAATTTACCAGTTTAAACAACTTTAATACAATTAATTCACTTTGTAACTTCGAAGTAACAAACGGTTGACAATATTTGCATAAAAGCTTGAGCGTGAAATTCCATAAAACAGTTTGCACCTGGCGTTAAACATAGATGTACGTTGCATTTGGAACATTTTATTAACTCCTTTACACCCCGGCTTTTTGCACCGTCATCAATATTGTTATTATTGGTTATCTCAGAGATATTATACAATTAAGACGTATACGTTATCTTGCGAAGAAACTAAAATTATTTGGCAAAATGTCGATATATTAGCATGTTACACCTGAAAGTTACACGAGCCCAGAGG